ACTTTGAAGAACTGCAATTCAAAAAGTGGTTTCTCAGCTGTATAGCGGACAACTTTTCCAACTGCTCTGACCAGTGCTGCGTCGTCTTGCAGTCAGCCTACTGTGGATCCGGACGTTCGTTTTGTCTCTTAAAAGAAATCATCAGTTTAACGATTTCTTCGACAGCCGCCTTTTTAAGCGTTATTCCAGGTATTTACCTCAGAATCGAAACGTCGAACAGAATTCAGACTCCTCCGAAAGAGTACTTTATCTATCTTTTATTTGCCCGAAAGTTGCAACCAATATGTAGATAGACGGAAACACAACCCAGTGACTTCTCGGGGCAGAACTTCTACAGTCTCTAAAAGCTTTAACTGTCCCTTCCCCTCCCAAAGAATCTTAAAATTGGCTCAAGAAGTTGGCACCACTAAAGTCAAAGTCAAACTCACACTCGTTTTTCTGAGATACAGTTTAAAACCATTAAAAAAGGTAATATAATTCAAAGGTTTATTGAGATTAAATTTCCCCTACAACGTTTGAAGGTTTCAACCACCTTGTCACCTTCTCCCTGCTCTCCTCTCTCCCCAGAATGCTAGAATTTAGCTTTACTAGTTGGTACCAATGTAGCCCGTGCCAAATTCAGTCAATTTTGAGGCGTATTACACATACTAATTATATAACAGTACTGTTTGCCGACAGTATTTCACAAATAAATGATCATTTTCCAGCGGGTGAAATCAAGCATAGATTATTCTTCATCTTCTTCCTCATAATACGTCACATGCATTGGACATCGTTTTGCGAAATATTCATCACCCTAGAAAGTTTGCAACAGGTAATAGTTTCCTCGAAACGTGAGAGAGCTTTCCTCATTAAAATCGTAATTCTTTATTTCGAAGATAACAGTAATTCAGGCGATGCACTGGAATATTAAGATTAAACTGCTCTGAATAAACATCATTACTCTGGAAAACAAAAAGATGAGCCTCAGGGAATGAAATGAAATTTTAATGAAAATGCACCATAATTCAACGGCTACGGCACGTTTGGAAAAACCAGTCAATTAACATATGAAGGTTAAAATCGCCTCTATTCACTCTCTGTGTGAGACGGAGATACTAGAAAGTAGCCCAAATGGTAGCACTTGTCAGCAGAAAGTACCCACTAAAAAGGATGGTGGTGG